GCCCCCCCCCCCGCCCCCGCCCCGCCGGCCGGCTTCATCGCTCTATTTCTCCTCGGATCCCTGCTGCCTCTGCCCATACAGGCGGGGATCTGAAGAGAAGCTACAGGCTATATGCTACTCCCCTGCCGCCCTGTGTCTGTGTTGGCCACCTGGCACCCCTGTTGCCATGGTGCTCTGTGCTCGCCATGGCAACAGGGGCACAGCCAGGCCAGCCCTGGCTGCGCAAGAGGAGAGTGCCTCACTCGCCTCGCCCTTTCTACGGCCCTGTCTGTACCTACTAATACATTCTTAAATGTTTATTTTTACAGCAAGCAGTGCAAGTACCTATATTTGACAAGGTATCAGCATTGTGTAGTCACTTTACAGCAGAGCTCAAAAGGTGGGCAGGAGAAACGGCAGAAGGAGCCAGTCCATGTGCAGCTGTGCTCATGTGCTAACAGGAAGCATGCTGATGCTGGAGGAGAGAGCAGAGAGATGAACTGATCAGTCTGCCGCTTCTCCTTCACTGTCTGCATGTTTTGGAAACCTCATTTACCTCATGTCGTTCTTCCTCAGGGGATGCGTAAAGGGAAATATGCAGAGGGAGAAGCCACGCTGAGAATGAAGTTGGTGATGGAAGATGGCAAAATGGATCCTGTGGCTTATCGGATAAAATATACCCCTCACCACTGCACAGGAGACAAATGGTATGTCCCGCATTATCCAGAATTGCAGAATTACCGCTGATTGGTTCACTGGTCTTTCTCTGACTATAAGGCTGTTGCTGGTCCCACGCGTCTCTGAAACCCCCTGGATGTCTCTCTCCTATAGATGCCAGGACAAGAAGAGACGCCAGAGCCAACCTGTGAGAATTCCAAAGAGCCGAGACTGCCTGTTTCTGTTCTATTTCACCTCTCACACATTTTGTATTTAAAAGAGAACTATAGGGCAACCTTTTTATTCCATAGTTCTCTTCAGGGTCATGAAGGGACGTATACTAACCTCCTCCCGTGACCCAAAACTCTTGCCCGCTATATACTGAGATTGCCAAAGCCGGAACTGATCCCGAAAATACTGTCGAGATCCACCCGATTGGCTGATTGACAGAGGGCTCTACCTATCTAGAGGCAGAGCCAGCTGTGCCCGCCCCCTCCCCTGTCCGTTCCTCCAGTCAGTGCTGGAGGATCGGAGAGGGGAGGGCGGGACAGTCACCGCTCTCTGCATTGAGATGATCAGGAAGTCAGTGATCGGCGGTGTGTTTTCTCTGACTTCCCGATCAATAGAGCCGACCTGTGACGGCTTCATTGTCACAGGTCGGCTTGTATTATGGGGGATGAGTGTTTTTCACTAAGTCCATAATTCTCCTTTTAAAGGATAACTACTTTCAGATGTCTTTTTTGGCCTACCTTCCCTGCCCAATGCATACTTACCTGAATTAAAAAGCATTTGCCTAAAATCTTATTTTCCCTGGTTGTGACTCTGCAGTTGACACAGAAAAATGCTTGTGAACCTGCCATTTGCCTGTTCACACAGGATGTTACCTGGGCTGCCCAGTGTGCCAGTGGTGTCTGAATGGGATGGTTGCCTGATTTTGTGACATTCTTTGGCAGGCAAAATAGTATTTTGAGCATTTATTCTTTAAAGGGTAAGTTTTATCTTTTCATTAAATGTGAAAAAATGAATTTGGTCGCAAAACAGCCCCCCCCCCCCATACCCCACACAAACACACACGTTCCTACTGTACTTACCTGTGATGCCTGCTGCCAGTTTAGGGTTCCGTACACCACAATGGCGAGCGCTCATCTGTCCCTAGCTCAGAAGGGCTTCTCATTGGTCAGCATGGTCATGTGACTGTGTTACTGTGTTGATCAATGAGTGCTCATCACGTGCAAGCAATTATGTAGGCTAATATAACTCGGCACGTACAGTGTACGTGGCCAGTCATATAGCCACTTTGTGACGGGACGTACACTGTACGTCTCCCGTCACGAAGGGGTTAAAGACTGCAGGGCTTTGAAGTGCGGTGTCCAGGCCATTACACCGGCTGGTGGGAGCATCACTCAGTTAAGTACAACAGAAAGGGGGGGGTAAAGTAAATTCATTTTTTTACATTTTGTGGAAAGGTGAACGTACACTTAATTTTTTTTTTTTCTCTCTGCAGGTGTATATATCCCACATACGACTATACACACTGTCTGTGTGATTCCATAGAACACATCACACACTCTCTATGCACCAAAGAGTTCCAGGCGAGGTGAGTCGGCCCGTTTATGAAAACTAGGAGTAAGGATTGGTACTTTTACCCATAGCAATCTATTAGTTGTAATCTTCCATTATTTTAACCTGCGCTGAAAAAATACAATCTGAAATCTGGTTGGCTGTTTCAGGGAACTCGGGCTTTCTCATTGATTGATTTTTTCGTAAGTGAACGTGGAACAGATTTGTTTTCAGTAAAATAGATTGTCTTTATGGACCTTTTACATGAGAAAAGTATAGAGGCTGTCATCGCTGACCTCCAATTGAAACTGCTAGTTGCTCGACTGATCCAGTGGCCTCAATACTAAGTCACTGATCCAAAATATGATTGCAAATCAAGAGTTATAATGTGGCTGATCTATATGCTTTTTTTAGGTCAGTGACTTAGAAAGTACTGAAGCCAGAGGATCAGCTCATCAGCCAGGCAGCTAGTGTTTTCAGAAGAGGGTCAGAAATGACAGCTGCATCCTTCCTCACAGGAGTGTTATTCCCAGGAGGGGAGCTGAGTTATAGGGAAGTGTACTTCCAGAAGGTTGGAGCTGAGCTATGGGGATGTGTACTGCCAGGAGGGAAGCTGAGCTATGGGGATGTGTACTGCCAGGAAGGGACTGAGCTATGGGGATGTGTACTGCCAGGAAGGGACTGAGCTATGGGGATGTGTACTGCCAGGAAGGGACTGAGCTATGGGGATGTGTACTGCCAGGAAGGGACTGAGCTATGGGGATGTGTACTGCCAGGAAGGGACTGAGCTATGGGGATGTGTACTGCCAGGAAGGGACTGAGCTATGGGGATGTGTACTGCCAGGAAGGGACTGAGCTATGGGGATGTGTACTGCCAGGAAGGGACTGAGCTATGGGGATGTGTACTGCCAGGAAGGGACTGAGCTATGGGGATGTGTACTGCCAGGAAGGGACTGAGCTATGGGGATGTGTACTGCCAGGAAGGGACTGAGCTATGGGGATGTGTACTGCCAGGAAGGGACTGAGCTATGGGGATGTGTACTGCCAGGAAGGGACTGAGCTATGGGGATGTGTACTGCCAGGAAGGGACTGAGCTATGGGGATGTGTACTGCCAGGAAGGGACTGAGCTATGGGGATGTGTACTGCCAGGAAGGGACTGAGCTATGGGGATGTGTACTGCCAGGAAGGGACTGAGCTATGGGGATGTGTACTGCCAGGAAGGGACTGAGCTATGGGGATGTGTACTGCCAGGAAGGGACTGAGCTATGGGGATGTGTACTGCCAGGAAGGGACTGAGCTATGGGGATGTGTACTGCCAGGAAGGGACTGAGCTATGGGGATGTGTACTGCCAGGAAGGGACTGAGCTATGGGGATGTGTACTGCCAGGAAGGGACTGAGCTATGGGGATGTGTACTGCCAGGAAGGGACTGAGCTATGGGGATGTGTACTGCCAGGAAGGGACTGAGCTATGGGGATGTGTACTGCCAGGAAGGGACTGAGCTATGGGGATTTCTACTGCCAGGAAGGGACTGAGCTATGGGCATGTGTACTGCCAGGAAGGGACTGAGCTATTGGGATTCCTACTGCCAGGAAGGGACTGAGCTATGGGGATGTGTACTGCCAGGAAGGGACTGAGCTATGGGGATTCCTCCTGCCCGGAAGGGACTGAGCTATGGGGATGTGTACTGCCAGGAGGGAAGCTGAGCTATGGGGATTCCTACTGCCAGGAAGGGACTGAGCTATGGGGATTTCTACTGCCAGGAAGGGACTGAGCTATGGGGATTTCTACTGCCAGGAAGGGACTGAGCTATGGGCATGTGTACTGCCAGGAAGGGACTGAGCTATTGGGATTCCTACTGCCAGGAAGGGACTGAGCTATGGGGATGTGTACTGCCAGGAAGGGACTGAGCTATGGGGATGTGTACTGCCAGGAAGGGACTGAGCTATGGGGATTCCTACTGCCAGGAAGGGACTGAGCTATGGGGATGTGTACTGCCAGGAAGGGACTGAGCTATGGGCAGGTGTACTGCTGGGAAGGTAACTGAGCTTCAGGCAGGCACTGGTGCTGGTCAAACTCTTGCCTGTCATGGCTGGGGAAGTACGCTGGGAATCTTTCTGCTTTACTGCCTGGGGACTGGAAGCGGAAGCACAATGTTGCATGCTCCACATGTGCCTCTATTTCTGTTCCTCCAGTGGCAAAACCGAAGTAGGACTTAATTATTATATTATTAACGCTCTGAATTTTTACATAGGCGATCGTCCTACTTCTGGCTTTGTAACGCGCTGGACGTCTACTGCCCCGTGCAGTGGGAATACGGACGGCTGAACCTGCACTATACTGTTGTTTCCAAAAGAAAGATAATCAGACTGGTGGAAACTGGAGCCGTCAGGTAGGTGAGACATGGCGAATCAAGGACTATGCCTTCCTGTCATTACACCAACCAGCCCCTGAAATTCCTCTCCTGATGTAGGGACTGGGATGATCCCCGTCTTTTCACACTGACAGCTCTGAGACGAAGAGGATTCCCGCCCGAAGCCATCAACAACTTCTGCGCCAGGGTATGTATGTTCTTTCCTTTTAAAAGTTTGTTTTATAACCAGTAGCGTGAAATGTTATATAGGTTTGGGATACAGGAACTTTCAGGAACGGCAATTATGCCACACATTAGGTATCACCGAGCATGCCAGAGTGAGCCCAATAATTGTAGGGCCATCATTCACTGTTAAAGTGACATTAAACCCTCAGATTTTTTAACATAAACCAATACTGTAATTTGTGCCTTACTGTAATCCATGGTAGTTTCCCTTCTCTTTGCTGCTCTTTTTAAATCCTCATGTCTTCTCATGCTGGGGGAGAACTTCCCTTTTCAGCTCTGGGCCTCTTCCTGTAGTGCTGGCTCAGGTTACAAGCCTATACAAACGTATACACAGACACCGTGTATCCATTCCTGAGACAAGGCAGTCTGCTGCAAAACAGAAGTTCTGTCGAGCATGAGAACAGATACAGATTTAAAAGGAAGAGCAGCAAAGAGAAGGGAAACAACCATGGATTACAGTAAGGCGCACATTACAGTATTGGTTTATGTTAATAAATCTGAGGGTTTAATGTCACTTTAAATTGATGACCTGCAAAGACTTTTAAAGTGTCACCTATGGACAAATTTGGGTACCGTAGTTTTTCGCCATTTCATGGCTGCACATGGATTCATATTTGGTATTTAACCCGACACAAACTCACCTTTTTTATATCAAAACAATTGGGATATTATATTTGCACTAAAATTAATTTGAGTATCTTTCACTAAAACTATGGGTTCTATAAACCGTTGCACTAATATTGTGTGGCATTAAAAATTGCAACTGCTTCAATTTTTTTCCTACAGGGTCTATACTTTTGTAAAATATATAATATTTTGGGGGTTTTAAGTAATCTTCAAATATAAAATGTGCATTGTACATGTGTACAAAAAATAAAAGGGGAAAGAAAATGAGGTTAAAGTGTTAAAGAACTCCATGCAAAAATTGTATTAACCTTGCAGTGGTGCTACCCCCACACTGCAAAGGTTAACTGCTCTTTTTGGACTAGGGAGGAACATTTTTAAAAATTATACTCGCCCAATCTGTGAGCCGGCTTGCTCTTAGACCCGTCCTCCCAGCCTCACTCCCCCTCCACTGCGGCGGTCTAAGGTCCCCGAGTCATCCCCTTCTATACGCAGTGTATGGGACATGAGGACATGGAGGGACATACCATCGCTGGAGGGAGCACTGTCGCAGCCGGCCGGCTGGTAGGATCAGGTGAATATAACGTATACCTCTCTAGACCAAAATGAGCACTGTAAGGGTTAAAAAAAAAAAAAGTTTTGCCTGGAGTTCTTTAAGTTGGTTTCCAACTGATGCCGGTGTCATGTGATCTTAGCAAATCTGCCTCAATGGCAGAGTGTCTAAACTGCAGTGTAGTTCCCCCTTAGGCCTCATTCACACGAGAAACGGCCGGCACGTACATCTCCGTGCTGCGTGCGCGGCCATATCGGGCAGCTCCCGGGAAGGACACGTGCTGCATGTGATTTAGTACGCAGACCCTGTCCTTCCCTATGGGATCCATCCTGTCAGCGTCCGAGCCGGGGCACCCGTACGCACCTGCACTTGGGGTGAGCTTAGGGGGGGCGTACGTCCGTCCGTGTAGTCCCATAGAGAAGGACAGGGGCGGTGTACTAATTACACGCAGCACCTGTCCTTCCCGGGAGCTGCTCGATGCGGCCGTGCACGCAGCTGTATGTGCCGGCCGTTTGTTGTGTGAATGAGGTCTAACGCACTGCACTTTAGAATTCAATTTTCCAGACACCTCTATTGTGAATGGACCTTCATTGGTTTTTCTATTTTAGTTTTACATCTATTAAAGCTGCTTTGTTTTTGTTGCTTTGAAATATTTCCAGAAGTTTGTTTCTAGTTGGAGTCGTAATAGTTAGCACAACAGACCAGTTTTTATGTACAGGAAGATTATGTAAGCGAGGCTGAAAAACACAATCTGTCCTCTTTGCTGGATTGCTTATAATAACGGCTTCACGTTTTAAGCTTTACTTTGCGCATTCTCTTTTCTGGAACCGCTTCCAAATCTCGTGTCTTACTGTGAATTGTTTTCTGCCAGGTTGGCGTGACTGTTGCTCAGACGACGATGGAGCCGCACTTACTAGAGGCCTGTGTCAGGGAGGTGCTGAACGACACGGCCCCCCGGGTAATGGCTGTGTTGGAGCCTCTGAAAGTCACAATTACCAACTTCCCAGCAGAGAAGGTAAAGCTCTCAGTAGGCTGAATACTGAGGCTCATTAGAAAAGATTTTAATTTCTATAACGCTAAGCCGTTTCTCTTTTCCCAAAAGGCATTTGATGTCTCCGTTCCAAACTTCCCGGCTGATGAGTCAAAGGGTTTCCACACAGTTCCTTTCTCTTCAACAATCTACATTGAACAGTCAGATTTCAGAGAGGTAAGGGATCCTGGCCCATTGCCCACTGCATTGTTCACAGAATCTAAATCCAAGAGCCAGAAGAGCTCCTATCTACCCTGTTTCCCCGAAAATAAGACCTACCCCGAAAATAAGACCTAGTACTATTTTGGGGAATTGCTAAAATATAAGGCCTACCCTGAAAATAAGACCTAGTTGTGACCATTCCCAGGGCCGGTGGTGGCATAAGGGGGAATGAAGCCAGCGCCAGAGGAAGAGAGGCGGCACCGGAGGGAGCAGAGCCGCATAAGCTGATGCCTCCTCTATAGCGCCGGCTCCTGTCACAGGGGGAGTGATACCAAATGCCTGTGAGGAATCCATAGTGAAAGTGCGCTTTGCTCATTCTGGCCAGTGATTAGTTAGCAAATTGATCTTGGAAAGGCACGGCACCCCTGATTGCCTTGATCACCATATTTTTGTGAGTGTGGATTGTTGTACATTAAAAAAATAAAAAATAAGACCTACCCCGAAAATAAGACCTAGTGTGTTTTTTTTTGAGCCAAAAAAATATAAGACAGTGTCTTATTTTCGGGGGAACACGGTATCTCTCTCTCTCTATCTATCTCTTCAGTCCTTGGATTTGGTAGCTGCATTTGTTTTCTTTTTTGTTTCTTTTCTTTTTTGTATTCATTTTTTCCTCTTATTTTCACCTGGTGATTATGTGGGTACCACACTTCCTGTCTTAGCGTGACAACACTCACTGACTGTATGTATTCAGGAGAAGCGTAGTTACCCGATGAGAGGTGTGTCAGGACTACAGGACACCACCTCCTCTCCATAACACGTGGGGGGACTTGGTGTACTCCACAGACATTGCTGGGAACAATTCTGATTCATAACAGTTGGCAGAGAGCACAGCATATTATCAGCTGGCAGGAAGGGCAGATAATTTCTTGCACTCCTCAGACAGTTATAACAAAATGATTTCAACTGCATATTTAACAAACCAACATGGAGGGAATAGAATTTCCTGCCAGGAATCTTGGAAGTGTATCTACACACAAATACAAAAAGGTAAAGTGCTGACAGACTTGGGATCAGTGGCATTCATTCTGGACGGTCATGGTTAGATTGAGAACTGATTGTGTGCTTATATGCATCATTTGACCTTGCCAAGCATCCTGCAGCCAGGTTTTGTCTGTAGAAAGTCAGCTGAGATTGATTTTGTTGTCCTGCTTGTTAGTGTTTTTGGATCAGTGGCAAGATCATTGATGTTCTCGAGCATGGGAGCATGGGAACATGTAATATTGTAATATGGAGATCTGAGCGGATATTTTCCTTGCAGGTGATGGAGAAAGGATACAAGCGCCTGACCCCTGATCAGTCTGTGGGCCTCCGACATGCCGGTTATGTCATCTCCATACAGAACATTGTTAAGGTAAGGGTTATGAAGTTTTTTGGGGGGGGGCGGGGGTAGCTGTAATACTGATCTCTAACTACCTTTTGACGTTTGGTAAATTGGAAGCTACAAATATGAAATCTTTGTTGTGATCTCCAAATTCAGTGTCTCGAGCCCAATGCCCACATACTGTAGGACTAGATTATTCTAACTTGGTGCTAACCCTTGCACCTGCCATTCAGAAGTCTAAAACCAGAGCCACTTTTTGGCCCCAAAACTCTTGAATTGTTTCTTGTTTGGCTGCAGTGAGAAGGGTAGACACAGTCAGACTGGGGAGGAATATGATAGAGGGGGGATAGGGACAGTCAGGCTAGGGAGGAATAGGCTAATGCTGGATCTCCTCCAACCAGGAAATGAGGCGGGCTCTATCTGACTTGCTGCAGAGTGTCTAATGCACATTGAGGGAATCTCGCAGTGAAAGCAGAGGAACCATTTAATTCCTGGAGAGGAGCCGGTACAACTGAGCAAGACTGAAGGGGAGGCTGGAGGTCAGCTTAAAATATTTAATGTCCATAGTCTGGCCTCAGTTTTGCTTCAATGGTTAGTTTGCATCACTGAAACCTCTTGGCAGTTTTCTTTGTGGCTGTTGGGACAAGAAGAGATGCTAGAACAATGCACTGTGAGATTTCCAAAGCGGAGAGGCCATTTGCCTGTCTGTTATTTCACCTCTCGCACATAACACAACTACTGATCTTATTAATTGGGGGGCACAGCAGCCCTTGCTTGACTTGCAGGTGATGGCATTCTAAGTATGTTGCACCTCTCTCATCGACTAAACCTCTGGGGAAAGAGTCTGGAAGATGGTTCTTTTATTTTTTCCCTTTTGTTTTTGTTTTTTTGTGTATAGCTCAGTGAGCTGACATACTGTATATTTTGTATATTGATCATTGGTTAACCAGCTGGATGTTGCTGCAGCACCCCCCATACCCTAGGCTTTACCTAGAAAGGAGTGATCTGGGAGTATATCCATGATCTATAATATGGCAAATCTTCGCTTTTTGAGTTCAGGACAACTTACCTGACACAGCTGTACACTGCTTTCATTGCTGAATGCCGGTGTTCAGAACAAAAGCTGTGCAAGGGACAGGTAAACCTTAGAGGGTGGAAGAAACTCCCGGTTTGTAAAATTGTTAGAAACCGTATTGAATTTTGCTGAAGTCCGAAGCAGCACAAGGTCCCATTATCATCATTTAACATTGTAATTCGAAATAGTGAAACATTACACCGGATTTTTCCATAGAGACTAGATGACCGATTTCTGTTGCTCAGCGATGCCCGATATTGCAAGTGTTTGCTTTATTTTGTTTTACAAAGAATGTCTTTGCACCTCTTTCTGCTGTAGGATGGAAGTGGTAAAGTGGTGGAGTTAGAGGTGACCTGCACCAAATCAGACATGGGTGAGAAGCCCAAAGCCTTTATCCATTGGGTGTCCAACCCTCTGGTGTGTGAAGTACGGTTGTACGATCGCCTGTGAGTATGACAAACGCAATGCATCGTGTGTGTTATGTTCATAATATTCCGCTACATTTTTAATGGGGTGCAAAAACATTGAGGAGTATTTACCAAAACCGGAGCAGCTGTGCACAGCAACTAATCGGCTTTTATCTTCAACTTGTTCAGTTTAGCTTTGAAAATGATAGCTGGAAACTGATTGGTTGCCATGTGTAGCTGCTCCAGATTCTGTCCGCTCCAGTCTTTGTAAATTCCCTTGAAGACTGAAGGGGTCTGGGGGAGGAATAGGCTGATGCTGGATCTCCTCCAGCCAGATTAATAATTTTTTAGTACAGGAGAGGAGCCGGTACAACCGTGTACGAGAGTAAAGGGAAGCCTGAAGGTCTGATTTAAATATTTAATGTCCATAGTCTGGCCTCCGTTTTGCTTCAAGGGTTAGTTTGCATCACTGAAACCTCTTGGCAGTTTTCTTTGTGGCTGTTGGGACAAGAAGAGATGCTAGAACAATGCACTGTGAGATTTCCAAAGCGGAGAGGCCATTTGCCTGTCTGTTATTTCACCTCTCGCACATAACACAACTACTGATCTTATTAATTGGGGGGCACACCAAACTGGAGCAGCTTATCACCGCAACTAATCATCTTCTATCTACAACTTGTTCAGTTTAGATTTGAAAATGAAAGCGGATTGGTTGACATGTGCAGCTGCTCCAGATTGTCTACTCCAGGCTTAGTAAATTCCCCTCATTCTGTACTATAGACACATGTATGAGGGCTTCTAGCTGTTAGCAGGGGTGTATCTGCCGCAAGTCAAACAAGCATTTGACTTGGGTGGCACTTTCCGGGGGGGTGCCACTGCCCCCAAAATAGCCGAGCTGCACAGAATCCGCCACTGCAACCTCAAGATGAGG